AGATAGATAGATAGATAGATAGATAGATAGATAGATAGATAGATAGAGATATCCAAGTGTAGGGAAAGTCCCCATGGAAAGCCACCATGCTGACTGGTCTCATTGGTGCACTGGCTTCCCCCTGCCATAAAGGATCACCACGGCTGGCAGCTTCAGCATTAACAGTTCACTATTTTGTGGCTTGGAGGCTAAAGTGCCAGATCAAGACATTGGCAGGGACAGTTTCCTCCAAGGGTCCCTGTCTTCTACTTCACTGTTCATAGTAGCCTTCTTCTGTATGTCTGTATTCTGATCTCTTCTCAGGACACTCAGCACATTAAATCAAGGCCCACCCCTGTGGCCTCACTTTAATCACTTCTCTAAAGTTCTATCTCTAAAGAGAGTTGTATCTGGATATACTGGCAGTTATCTGAACTACTACACCCATCTGCACTTAGAATGTAAATATAGGAACCTGGACACAGTATACCCCATAACATCTTGTCTAGTTACTTTTTTAATGCTGTGATAAAATACCATGACCAAGGCAACTTATAAAAGGCAGTGTTTAATTTGGGGCTTACAGTTTTCGAGGGTTACATTCCATGATGGCCAAGCAAAGGCATGCTGGCCGGAACAGCAAGAGCTTACACCTTGGTCCACAAGCTGGAGGCAGAGAGGTAATCACTTGGAATGGCCCAGATCTTTTGAAACCTCAAATATCCTCTATGACACACGTCCCCCTAATCCTTCCCAAACAGTTCCACCAACTGGACCAGGTATTCAAATATATTAGCCTATGGGGGCCATTCTCATTCAAATCACCACAGTAGCCCTGGTCAAGAGTCTGTGCCTTTGGTAATTTGACTTTATAGGAACAAATTCCTCTGCTGTAGAAATGAAGCTGAACTTTGTTCCTGCTGCAGTTAGGTTTTACCAGAAAGTTCCTGAGAGACACATGATGCTTTCATGGGCAGGAGGCACCTGGCAACAGGCCAGTACCTTCGCCTAGCATTTGTCCTGTGACAGATGGCCTAACTTTTGATGCTTTAGAAGGCAGATCCCAGCAAGATTTGGCAGGATGATACCCAAGGGACTTCTTGGTTACAGCTGTGCCATCCACACACCCCACCCACATCTTGTATGTGTATAGGTGTTTTGTCAACAACATATGTATCTGTATCTGTGCCTCACTGAAGTGCCTTGAGTATATGGAAGCCAGAAGAGGGCATTGGATTCCCTAAAGCTCAAGTTACAGACAGATGTGAACTACCACATGAGTACTGGGAATAACCCCATTACTCTAGAAGAAAACCCTCTCTCCAGCACCCCAACTGTAGGTCTTAATATGGGTCTGACAGGGCTCTTCTCTGGGCACTGGAACAGCGACTGCTTCTTATATCTATTATTTGTACACCTGTTAGTCAGTTCACTTCTCACCAGACAGCCCCTTTAGCACTTTCCTTGCAAACTTCCACCCATAGGATGGACCCTGACTCCCTTTACTTTTTTGCCAGGGGCCACCAGAATCACCTCCTTTAGCCTGACCCAGCTGTTGCCTGTCCTCTGTAGGAAGAGGACACGTGAAGTCCCTGCATTCCTATCCCCTAGACTGAAATGAGGGAACACAGCCACTATGCCAGACATGGTGCCTCTGCCTTCTGCATTGGGACTCAACATGAAAACCTCACTCAAACAACTTGTGTCATTTCTGGACCACATCTTCAAAGTTTGAAAATGCTCCAGGCAAATGCACGAGAGAGAAGTTAGCTGTGGGCTAACTCTCTGCCTTATTCTCCTCAAAGATTAAGTGCACTAGCTGTTCTTCCAAAGGTCCTGAGTTCAATTCCCAGATACCACATGGTGGCTCACAACCATCTATAGTGAGATCTAGTGCCCTCTTCTGTTAAGCAGGTGTATATGCAGGCAGAATACTGCATACATAATAAATAAAATAAATCCTAAAAAAAAAAAAAAAAAAGCTGGGCGTGGTGGTGCACATCTGTAATCCCAGCACTCAGGAGGCAGAGGCATGTGGATCTCTGTGAATTTAAGGCCAGCCTGGTCTACAAAGTGAGTATAGGACAGTCAAGGCTATACAGAGATTCCCTGTCTCGAAAAACAAAAGAAAACACAAATCTGTGCCTTATTCTCTACATGGACAACTGAATGCTGACATGTCTGGGAGAATGAAGGGGCTACTGTCCTGAGTTAACATGTAGGGACAGAGTAGGAAGGACTGGTCTCCAGGTCACCCTTCCCACTTTTCCCATGCCAGTGTCCAGTACTCCAGTTATTCCAGTTTCCTCACTCCTCAGATTGAGAGCCAAAAACCTATGGATGCTTTCCTCAGTTTGCCACCACCCAGACACCTCATCTGCCCACCTGAGCAGAGTCTCATTCACTGTTATCACTACCCCACTTCTGCAGCTGGGACCCTAATCATGACTCAGAGAACTGCATCTCATCCCTGTCTTGCCACACCTGCTCTTCATTCCCTGCTCTAGGGTGGTGTTCCTCCCAGCACCCATGCCATGGTCCAAGACAGCAGGCCCAGGCCGATGGAGGATGCCTCCAGGCCTCCAGAGAGCAGGATTTAGTTAGACAGGCCCACACACCCAGCAGCCTGCCCTTGTCTCTTGCACACACGGTACCCCAGGGGTGAGGAGCGGCCATGTACCCTAGGCCGAGTGCAGCACGGCGGAGGCAGAACAAGGGCATTCATTACCTGTATGCATTTTTGGAAACAGGACGAGGATCAAACTTAAAGAAGATGATGCACATGAGTTTCAAGGGTGGCTTTGCTCACACGGTCACAAAGTCTGTGGGGAAAGGAGAACAATGAGCTGTGAACAGCAGGGTCGGAGAGTCTTTCAGGTGCCTCAGGGGCCCAGAGCACATCATCAGTGAGTGGGGCTGAACTAGTGAGAACCAGGTGCCCAGTGACATCACAGACCTCTCCCTTCACCTGGGAGCATTCACCATGGCATTCCTTC